TCTCTCCCCTCTCTCTCTCTCTCTCTCTCTCTCTCTCTCTCTCTCTCTCTCTCTCTCTCTCTCTCGCTTTCTCTCTCTTTCTCTCTCTCTCTCTCTCTCTGTCTCTCTCTCCCCTCTTTCTCTCTCCCCTCTCTCTCTCTCTCTCTCTCTCTCTCTCTCTCTCTCTCTCTCTCTTTCTCTTTCTCTCTCTCTCTCTCGCCCCGCCCTCGCTGCTTTTTGGCGACGGTGCGGCGCAGGTGGCGCCACTGCGGAGCTGGATTTTTGAAAACATTATTCGAAATTTCGAATTTCGAATTTTGTTCGGTTGTTAGAATTTTGCAGCCGACATCGGCAGCAGATTTCGTTACAAACGATAGCAGGTGTTTACACGGATAGAATGTTATATCGTTACGATCCGCTAAAATGGCCAGGGGCGAAACGCTGCACGCTTTCGTACATCTACGATCGTGACATTAAGTTCGCGACCACCTCGAATTTGAACTATCACGCGTAGTATGGGATCGTGGTAAAACCCGGCACGAGGATGCAAAGAGACACGCCATGTAGCGCCAGCAGCCCAACTAGACATGGATGCCCAGCTGCCTACGCCACAAGCGAGAAATCCCACAACCAGGCACTCTACGCTAGTGGTCATCGAACAAGAAGGCAGCGGAGGTATTCGGGATGCCGAAAGAGTAGTTAGGACCGCTTGGCGGACGGGGTGACTGATCTCCGAAAAACTGATCTATATAAATCCATATAGTAACTATTTCGCGCATTGTCTCATCACTGCAATGATGGCAGACGAGGTCACTTGCCTGCCATATTCGCCGACCAAGAATTGCTTTAAGGTGTGTTAATATAACTATATAACTATATAACTATATATATCTATATATATTGTCATATATATAGAAACGACTATATATATATGTATATATGTGTTTGGTATACCCAACCTCTTCATAGTCGATCCCCTGTTGAGAATTTTGGCCCTAACAATATGGCGCCCAAGTGACACACGTCCCCACAATGCTGTACACGCAAGGACATCCATATATATATATATATATACGGACCAGTCGATCCACAATGGCCGCGCATCACAGCCAGGGAAAGAGGAAGCTTTGAAAGAATACTGGAGAAGGAAGCCGGGTGATGGTAGTACCGGCGGGGAGAAACGCGCGCGGGACCGGAGGAGGCTCGCTCGCTGAGTAAATATTACACTTGCACTGGCATTCGCAGGCCCACGACAGCCGACTGCGCGACGTATCTCGCGAACGGGATCCTCCGTCGTACGACTTGTATCCGTGCCGCCAGCGCGGCCGCGGCGACGCGTCCTCTGTCATCAGGTACTTGTTGTCGAAGCGGTAGTCGCACGGCGTCGACTCGGCGTGCAGGCCGTACTTGTCGTACAGCTCTCGTATCGTCTTCGAGTAGGGATACTTGCGATAGAGATCGCGTACGGTCTTCGCGTAGCGGTACATCGCCGTGTCGCACGGGCACGGCGCCGGACACACGCAGCAGCACGCCGCGTCGTCGGGCGCGTCGGCGGCGTCGCAGTAGCACGGTCGGCAGCAGCAGCGCGGACGCGCCGCACCACCGGAACAGCAGCGCTCACGCGGCATCGCGGTGTAGGCGGTGAGGTCAAAGGTCAACGAGGTGAGGGGTCATAGTCGCGGTGACATCGAGAGCGGGTGACGTTACCACCGTGTCGCTTCGCTGCGGGAGAGAGCGCCCCCTGTCGCTCACGTGTGGAAACAGATTCACTCGGCTGACGCACGTCTTAACACGCCCACACTGACTGACGCGCTTGTTTCTTAAGTGGAGGTTACGTTCAGCAGAGATTCTTTTAACTACAAACCTGCCTCTCAACTTTTGGTTACGTATACACGCTGATTCTTACGTCGCACGTTCGCTCGTCTCTGTTGGTCCGCACAGATGCTCTTTACCACACGCCTCCTACCTTACCGCTTTCGTCAGATGAACACTGATTCCTGACCGCAATCCCTTCCTGCTAGCCCTGGTTGCGCGGGTTCCTTACCAAGCACTTTCCTCTTAACTCTCGGTTCTCACGCAGGCACAGAATCTACACTACACACACACACCTGTCTCCCTACCTTGGCTACGTTGGCACTGGTTATCTATCACACACCTGTCACTTAACTCTGGTCGTCGCACGGGCAGTGATTCCTCCTCACACACCTGTCTCCGAACTTTACCTGCATGAGCACTGTATCATTGCCACACACCTGTCTCCCAACCTTCCTTACACCTGGCACTGTTTCTTCGCCACACACCTGTCTTCCAACCTTCCTTACACCTGGCACTGTTTCTTCGCCACACACCTGTCTTCCAACCTTCCTTACACCTGGCACTGTTTCTTCACCACACACCTGTGTTCCAATCTTGCCTACGGGAACACTGTTTCTTTACCACACACCTGTCTACCAACCTTCCCTACGTTGGCGCAGGTTTAACACCGCATACACCTCTCGCTCGTGTCCATTGCTCACTCGCGACGCCGACACAAATCTTCATGCGTGCCGTCTCTCTCACGCGCGCACGCTGCCGACACACACGGCGACCACGCCCGTCACGTGCTTCACACAGCTTCTCTCTCCGCAGCTGATGCTGCTGCTGCCACAAATCACAGTGACCTCGCGTCGGCTTCCTGCAGTTTCTCCTCGCGCGCACACACACACAGGCACTACCGTCGCTACCTCTCTCTCTCTCTCTCTCTTTCTCGCTCGCTCGCTATCTCCCACGTGCGTGAGTAGGCAACGTGACAATAACAACAACACCGATAAATAAATCACGCGCGCATCATCGTTGCAGCATCCCTATCGCAGCATCCTCATCCTCATCCTCATCCTCGATCACGTGGGAAGCTGAACGTGGGGTGTCCCACACCGGCAAGGGGGTGGAGGGACGGATGGCGGTGGGCGGGCTGCGTATGGTGGAGGTATCGCACCGCTCGGCTCTCTCTCTCTCTCTCTCTCTCTCTCTCTCTCTCAACCCTGGCGCTGCCGTATCTGCGCACGCCTTCTCCGCGCTTGTATGTGCCTGAGTGTGTGTGCGTGTGTTTGCACCGCAGCGCACCGCACCGCACGCGACCGTTAGGAATCCCATCAACTTAATCGAACTCGCGCTAATTGGCCGAGATTTTGACATCGCTCAAATATTAATATATTTATACGCGCTCCGCCCTGCCACGCCGGCAATCGCCGATGCCAATAATATTTGCAATCAGAGAGCGGTATCGGCTCTCGGGCCGTGCTGGATGAATAATTGAGCGCGGGAGCGGCGAAATCATATTGCATTATCGTGTGATTTTTACTCGGCATCAATAATGCAAGTCAATTTTTGTAATGAATTTTCGCTCCTCTAATATTCATCCTTCTACAGCAGCAACAGCAGCAGCAGCAACAACAACAACAACAACAGCAGCAGCAGCAGCAGCAGCAGCAGGAGTAGCAGCAGCAGCAGCAACAACAGTAGTAGCCACAGCAGCAGCAGCAGTAGCAGTAGCAGTAGCAGCCAGAGAGCCATAGCCAGAGTGCGTGTAGAAAAAGCGCGGCGAGAGAGAGAGAGAGAGAGAGAGAGAGAGAGAGAGAGAGAGAGAGTGCGTGGGGGCGCAGGCAATCGAGAGCTATTGCGCGAAATTAATTTTAATTACTAACCCAATAATTTTTATTTTTAAGCCCGAAACGTCGCCTTTTCGTCGAGCCGTCGCGTTCCTGATATTGACAGCTGGTACTACGTTTAACCGCTCTTCACTCGCCCAATCTCTCCAGCATCCATCAGTGTAACCAACCGGATCGTCACCATGGCAACGCGTCCAACTCCTTCCTCTCGCCAGGAAGTGCGCAACCGAATCGCCAGGTGGCGACATGTACCCGAGCGACAAGAAGGGGGGCGGAGAGTGCTGCTATGCGGGTTTTTTTTTTTACTCTCGTCGAAAAAAAACCTCGAAGTTAACATCGCAACCAAACTAATTATTTATGCGGCAGGCCGAGGGTTCTGATCCGCGGCTTTTCTTCTTGGTAATGCGAGAGGAGAAATTGTTCGGTTGCTTGCATCGGGCGTTTCTTTCTGCCGGTCGTTATTTTTCTCTTTGAGGGGAGCAATCACTCAGGAAAGCACCCATGTGAATAGGCGGGTGATGGAATGCGTAGCACAGCACGCAGATAAAATATGTATAGACGGAGAAAGAAACGAGGGAGAAGGAGAGGAGGGAGAGGGAGAAAGAGAGAGAGAGAGGGGGAAAGAGGGAGAAAGAGGAAGAGGGAGTGTGAGAGAAGAGAAAGGGGAGAGAGAGGGAGAAGAGGGATAGAAAGACAGAGAGAGGGGAAGAGCTACGGAACAACGAGAGAATACCAGGCAACACACGATACTAGAAAAAACTACAACCACCACCAACACAAAGACCCACGACTAGCCGGAAAAAAGAAAAAAACCACCACCACAACCACATACCACACATACGCATGCACACTCGTTTTGCTAAGAAGAGTACTAGTCAACGCAAGGTAATAATAATAATATATATATAAAAAACTACAACCACCAACAACACAAAGACCCACAACCGGTCGGAATGTAAGGATTTTCCACCGCAACCACACATATACCACCACATACACACGCATGCACACGCGCGTTTTTGCTAATTAGAAGTGCCCCTTGATCACCCATCACATGCCTGCATGCAGCAACCAGCCTCATTCGCCCACCGACCGCAGCACCACTAAACTACATAGTCTAACTATAGCTGCGTTTACACTACCGACTTTATGTTGGCGAATTGGCGAATTGGACCAACTTCCAAACTATACAACCGACAAGTGTAAACGCAAAAGTTGCGCAACCAACCCATCGATAGCAACTATAGTTGAAAGATGTTTTATTTTCGCTAGTTGCCGAATTGCGAAATTGGTGCAACTCGCCAATTCGCCAACATAAAGTCGGTAGTGTAATCCCAGCTTATAACTTCAACACGCTTCTAACGCGACTGGAATATTAATCGCCATCGTGATTGTCATTACGCGAGAGGCATTAACAAAACCAACACCATTATAACGAACAGCCATGCCAACAGACAGACACAGACACACACACAGAGTGAGATCGAGAGAAAACGACGCGACAGATCAAACGAAATGCTCATCAATCTACTCATTATAGTGATTAACAACATCAACAACAAGAGTATCATCATCATCATCATCATCATCACCGGTACGGCACCGGTAACAGACATGCGATCCATCACAGTCAACAGTCGATCCATCAGGATAAAACAAAGGCCGCTGTCTCGGCGGTACTGGGCCGTCGCCTAGCCCCCGGGATGCTGGGAAGAGGCAGGTGGGAGCCAGTAGACGTCTGCCCATAATGGGAGGCAAAGAGGTGCAAGATCAAGTGTGCTAGACGGTGACCGCGAGGGGGTTGTAATCATGGGCTGTAAGATAGAGGTTGGGAGGAGGGAGGGGAACAGTGGGAGGATACGGCTGTAGGGTAGTGGTGGGGAGGGGGAGGAAGAGAAACAGTGGGAGGGTGTGGAAGGGGAACAGTGGGAGGATACGGCTGTAGAGTAGTGGTGGGGATGGGGAGGAAGAAAAACAGTGGGAGGGTGTGGAAGGGGAACTGTGGGAAGGTGTGGAAGGGGAACTGTGGGAGGGCGTGGAAGGGTAACTGTGGGAGGGTGTACTAGACCGACGAGGGGCTATAATCACGGGCTGTAGGGTGGGGAGGGGAGGATGAGGAGGAGGGAGGGGAACAGTGGGAGGATGTATGGCTGTAGGGTAGGGTGGAGAGGGGAGGATGAGGAGGGAGGGGAACAGTGGGAGGATGTACGGCTGTAGGGTGGTGGTGGGGAGGGGAGGGGGAGGAAGAGGAACAGCGGGAGGGTGTACGGCTGTAGGGTAGTGGTGGGGAGGGGAAGGGAGGGGAGGAAGGGGAACAGTGGGAGGTGTAGCTGGTTAGGCGTAGTGGAGGGGAGGACGGGGGAGGAAGGGGAACAGTGGGAGGGTGTATACGGCATGTAGGTAGTGGGAGGAGGCAGAGGAGGGGCGAGAAGGGGACAGTGGGAGGTGTGACGGCTGTAGGGTACGTGATGGGAGGAGAGGAGAAGGGGGAGGAGGGGAGCCAGTGGGAGGGTGTACGGGCTGTAGGTTAGTGGTGGGGAAGGGAAGAATAGGGGAGGAAGGGGAGCAGTGGGAGGTGTACGCTGTGGGTAGTGTGGGGAGGCCGGAGGATGGGGAAGGAAGGGAACAGTGGGGGAGGGTGTTAGGCTGTAGGGTACGTGAGGGAGGGAGGGAGGAAGGGGAACAGTGGGAGGGTGTACGGCTGTAGGGTAGTGGAGGGGAGGAGGGGGAGGAGGGGGAACAGTGGGAGGGTGTACGGCTGTAGGGTAGTGGATGGGAGGAGGGGGAGGGGAAGGAAGGGGAACAGCGGGAGATTGTACGGCAATCGAGATCAATTCTCTGCGGACAGACGCGCGAATGCAATCACGCGGTTCAAAGGGTCGTTAAACGTTAAATAATGCATAAATTAATTAAATAAACATTATTCAAATGCACGCAGCACACGATTGGTGAGCGTATCCAAGTTTATTAGAAGAGCAAACATATCGATTTTATTTAAAAAAATACCTTAAAAAGTTCCCAGATCTAATTTAACATTATGGTAATGATGTATAGCCCAACCGGTTAATAAATTTCAATCGCAGCGAATCCATTGTAATTTATAACCAAGAGGATAAAAAAGGGAGGTTATGATTGGTGTGAAGTTGACACGGGTGTGGAGTGTCCCACACAGACGTGTTGAGCTGGTAGAAACAGTAGTTAGTAATACTAGAGGTCAGGTTCCAGCACAAGAGAGAGTTGGAGAAGGGGTGACTGTGGAGTAGACATCTGTGTGCATGAACCCACACCCCGGGCGACCGGCCTTTGTTTGTAACCATCCGCATCCAGAGAAAGCAAACCAGCAGGAAGGAAATCTCTCTCCTACCTTTCACTGGCGACTTCGGTCTAGCGCGGGCCGGGCTGGGGCTGCCGCGGCGGCCGTATGGGCTGTCGCCACGGAAACCGATCGTGCGGCGCAGCGCAGAGTTGATGTTGCTCAGCTTATGCTCTGCGTCGCGTTTCGCTCCCTCCATCTGGTGGCGAAAATGTGAATATTACGTACGAATTTCACGCGGCAGCAGCACATGTCTAAACGCGTCGTTACTAAGGAAGAGTGATATTGAGTAAAATGACTGAGTAATTCTATTGCTGGCCTGGTTATATAAACCAGATGTTCATCTGACATTTAACGCAGTGACCACATTGTGTTCGTTACTGAAAGTAAGAATAAACAATGCAACTACTAAACCTTGTAGATTTCTAGGACGTACTCATTCTAGAAAGAAAGTCTAATAATACCAGACGAAACTATAGATGGATGCAGGGACATTGTAGAAGCAGGAAAGCTATGGATGGAGGAACATTGTGGAAGCCAGCACTTTATAGAAGCAGTGATATTGTAGAAGGGGGCAAGCTATAGATATAGCTAAGTTATGAATAGGGCAAATTTTGGAAGCAGGCAAACTATGGATGCTGGGACATTTTGGATGCAGGGAAGCTACGAATGATGGGACATTGAAAAAGCAGGCAAGCTATAGATGGAGGTATATTGTAGAAGAGGGCAAGCTGTGGATTTAGCTAAGTTATGAAAATTTTAGAAGCAGGTAAACTATGGATTCTGGGACATTGTGGATGCAGGGAAGCTACGAATGAAGGGACAATCAAAAAGCAGGCAAGCTATAGATGTAAGGTCATTTGGATGCAGGGAAGCTACGAATGAAGGGACAATCAAAAAGCAGGCAAGCTATAGATGTAAGGACATTGTGGATGCAGGGAAGCTACGAATGAGGTGACAATGAGAAAGCAGGCAAGCTACAGATGTAAGGACATTGTGGATGCAGAGAAGCTACGAATAAGGTGACAATGAGAAAGCATGCTATAGCGGGCTATAGCTGCGCGCGACTTACGCGCGTGAGATGCTGCTCGAGCGCGATGACGCGGCCCTCGCTCGCGCTCAACTTCATCTTCAGCTCGGCGATCTCCGAGTTGTAGCCGTCCATCTGCAGCTCGAGGTTGTGCCTCGTGCTGTCTATCTTCGTCTCCGAGCTGCGGCTGTCCTCCAGAGCAAGGTTCATCTCCTTCTGCTTCATCCGGTACTCGTCCTCGACCTCGCCGAGGCGGCGCTGCATGTTCGTGAGCTCCTTGCGAAGAGACTCGCGCTGCGCATCGCCCTCCGTCAGCTGAAACGAGCGCGCGCGCGGAGTGAGCGACGCGAGGGGTCGACAGGAATATACGTTCGCCTTCATCTTGCTCGTCGTTTTTCGGTAGCTTTTTAACTAATGTTGTTGTTGTTAGCGTCATTATTGTCATCACGATCATCATCATCATAATCATCTTCATATTCAACAGCAGCATCACTGCCGCTGCTGTCATCGTCACCATCATCATCTTCGTCATCATCACTAGAATCTTTGTGGATATCATTGTCATCACTGTCACCATCAACAACAGTAATACACACACACAAAATTGACAGGTTATCATTTTCAACAAAACTGCGAACAAATATGTGAATTATTGATGTGAATAATTTGAATCGACCCCCAAAAACAAAAATTCAATTCCCACAAATGGCCTTAATAAAAGCAAGACACAAGGTTATGTGTACATGTAGATCCCATAGCTATCAAATGCAATTACGATATACGTATATCATCAAGAGCTTATTAGTTATGCATCAACTCTCAATATCATCAAGAAAAAATAAGATGGTATCGATATTCCCATATAAAATCACGGAAATATGGAAAGAATCGAATAACTATTCCCTTTAACTGCGCTAAATTCTTCCTTTCTTTTCCCCACAGACAGCAGCACTCGTCACCTCGCTGCGACCTTCAGAGAAGACCTTCACAAGAGGAAGCCGTACCTTCTGCTTCAGCGAGAAGATGTCCTTCTTGAGGTCCTCCTCTCTCTCCTCCGACCGCATCGCGCGATTCTGGTAGTCGTCCGACTCCTTCTTCACCTTCAACCTCTCCTCCTCGCCCTCCTTCTTCTGCTCGAGGGAAGACGTAGCAGGAGGAGCGTCGTCGACGGAGGATGAAAGAGAGGAGGAAACGAGGAGAGGGTCGTTAGCGTCGGCAACGTGCATCTTCGCGAAGCTCTGGACGCCGCCAACGACGTAGAGATCGCCGCCCTGCCTCTCCGCCGCCGCAGCCGCCGCCGCCACCACGCGACTCTCCATGCTGCGCCGCTGCCGCGCTTAGAGGATCGCAGGCTCTGCTGCCCTCGACTAAACACGTGAGGTGGTGGTTTCCCACGTCTTCTGGTTCATTCGCACATCAGGCGTGTGCGAGAGAGAGACATCGCCCGCGCGGCGAGAAACATGCGAACAAGGGAGCGTGAGTGCAGGGAGGGGGAGGGGGAGGTGACCCACGTCAGCGGACACTTCGCGCAGATAAATATTTAACGCCTACAACGCTCGAGCACGACTTCTTTGTGTATTGGATGAGGCCTAATTAACCTGGTGAGGTCACGCCTATAGGCGATGCAGAGCGGTCAGTGTTCACGGTTGGCCAACTTACTACGTCATGCTTACGGTGTGGCGAAGAAAGAAGTTGCTCGTAGAATATTCTGCGTTTACACACGGGTGAGTGCACGTGCAAAGAAAGTACTTTACGTATTGGAAGAGGCCAGTGGGCCATGGTTTTTGTAATAACTGCTAGATGGCGCCACATGCCTCGCAACTGAAATAGGCAAGCATTATAGGGGACCCCTTGCTTTATGCTATATGCTTATATATATATTTAAAGCATTTCACTGAGCATAGTATAGATAGCCACACAATTAACACATTACTAAGAAATCTATATTCCACGATTACACACACACATACGTACGCTGCATAAGCTAATATAACACGATCACATGCAAAAACTCGCAGGACATCTATATTTAAAAACAAGTCCAACAGATGGCAGTGCGTGTCGTATCGCGGCTTCGGCGGCGCGTACCTGTCTGCGTGTCTCTGCGAGCTCTCGCTTCAGCTCCACACGCGATCGCTCCACGTCCCTCAGACTCTCCTTCAACGCGCCCACGTCCTTCTCCTGCAACGACTTCTTCTCGTCGGTGGCTGTCAACGACGACACGTGAGACGTTACACACAAACAAACAAACAAACAAACAAACAACCGAACAGACGACCGTCACAAGGAATTTTTTTTCTCATGTGCACCGTTCCCCAAATGAAATCACGGGAGTGCAAATTACTGCAAACTGGCAAAACTCAATGATGAAGCTTGCAAAAGTTTCATATATGGCTATATATATTATATATATATACAATAGAATATTAGTATGATATAATCGTATTCCTCGTAATAAAAACATGGCGAGGCAGTCCCTCTAACACCGTTAACTGACGTCAGTCCGGCTCCTCTCTCTCCGCACACGCGCGCGCGACCGTGAGAGAACTCACAGGCGAGATTCTGCTTGGCGTCGTCGAGCTTCCTTCTCAGGTCGCCCTTGTCCTGCTCGCTCTTCTTGATGTGGTTCCTCAGCTCCTCGTTCGAGCGGTTGACGGCTTCCTTCTCGTGCAGCTCCTCGGTCCACTGCTTCTTCAGCTCGCTGTTGTCCTTGTGCATCTTCTCGACCTCTTCCCTCTCTGCGCAACACGAGAGAAGGGAGAAAGGGAAATGACGTCATTTCGATTGAACAATCACGATTCGTTCTGTCATTTTGTGCAATTGTCATTATTCCAATTTCGATCTATATGAAATTATTCTAAAAAAGAAGAGAATGGAGTGAGCTTTGGGCCGAAAATGGGCCGTAATGGGGGGGGGAGGGGGTGAACAGAAATCAGGTTTTTAATCGGGTTCTAGAAGATTTTTTGCAAAGATTTTTTCTAGTAGTTTTTCTTTACAAGGCTAGCTAGCGTAATGCCATGGGATGTTACCAAAACTACAGTTGATTTGTATCAACAAAAGAACCACCAATTTAAGGGAAACGCCAAGAGTGTCCTTCACAAACAGATCTCCTTTCAATAGAGGTGTTCACTAGCACAGGTTTAAATTGTCTACGTCACAATTTTCTATGGTGTATATAATATTTGTCAAAGTTTTGTTGCCATTTTTTTACATTAAAAGTAAGTACTAACGGGACTAAATGATAAGATTGTTTCTGAACTAGTTAAAAATCCAGAAAACCTGGACGATTTGATATTATGATCCTGACATTAATTGTTTGCTATGGGCTATGTATGAGTCACGCGTGTATGTTTACATCGAACAATATAGTAAAATAGGAAGTATAATGCAGCAATTTAGCCTTAAAAAGTAAACAGAATTACTTACATTTTGTGAAAATGTGGACATGTTTTTTTTACTTTTACTATTTATGGTGATGACGTATTCACTTTAATTGCAGCCAAGATAGCACGAGCACTCCCAACCATGTTTGACATGATACGCCACCACTGACAAATCGCCCTCAACCCTGTCCCCCCATCCCGCCCAGCCCGCGCCCTATGCCCCACTCTTTCACTTGCCATTCCCACCCCCGCCCCTGCCCTCTTTCCGCCTCCCCCCCCCCCCCCCCCGCCCCGCCCCGTCCCGCCCCGACCCTCCCCCGCCCCTCCCCCCGCGCGGACGCACCGTCCTTGATGACGAGGTTGAGCTCGGCGTTCTTCATCTTCAGCGACTCCTTGTTCTCCTCGAGCGTGGTGACGATGCGCTTCTGTTTGCTGATCTCCTCCTCCAGCGAGACGCGGTGCGTGTTCAGCTCCTTGATGCGCATGCTGCACTCCTTCAGTGCCTTCTCGTTGGCAGCCCTGCAGAGGGAGGGAGAGAGGGAGAAGGAGACGTTAGTGACGATTGCGGGTGGGTTAGGTTTGACGTGAATTTACAACTGGTTCTATTGGAGAATACGCGGTGCTAGTTCAGCTTCTCCAAGCTGCACCCCCTTCAGAGCGTTCTCGTTGGCAGCTCTGCAAGGCGAGGGAGAGCGAGAGGGAGAAGGAGACGTTAGTGACGATTGCGGGTGGGTTAGGTTTGAGGCGAATTTACAACTGGTTCTATTGGAGAATACGCGGTGCTAGTTCAGCTTCTCCAAGCTGCACCCCCTTCAGAGCGTTCTCGTTGGCAGCTCTGCAAGGCAAGGGAGAGAGGGGAAGGAGACGTTAGTGACGATTGCGGGTGGGTTAGGTTTGAGGCGAATTTACAACTGGTTCTATTGGAGAAGATGCGGTGAGAATTCAGCTTCTCCAAGCTGTACCCCCTTCAGAGCCTTCTCGTTGGCAGCCCTGCAAGGCGAGGGAGAGAGGGAGAAGGAGACGTTAGTGATGATTGCGGGTGGGTTAGGTTTGACGTGAATTTACAACTGGTTCTATTGGAAAAGATGCGGTGAGAATTCAGCTTCTCCAAGCTGCACCCCCTTCAGAGCGTTCTCGTTGGCAGCTCTGCAGAGGGAGAGAGAGAGGGAGAAGGAGACGTTAGTGATGAGTGCGGGTGGGTTAGGTTTGACGTGAATTTACAACTGGTTCTATTGGAGAAGATGCGGTGAGAATTCAGCTTCTCCAAGCTGCACCCCCTTCAGTGCCTTCTCGTTTGCAGCTCTGCAGAAGGAGGGAGAGAGGGAGAAGGAGACGTTAGTGATGAGTGCGGGTGGGTTAGGGTTGGCGTGAATTTACAACTAGGTCTATTGGAGAAGATGCGGTGAGAATTCAGCTTCTATAAGCTGCACCCCCTTCAGAGCGTTCTCGTTGGCAGCTCTGCAA